ATGTTAAGAGTTTAAAAGACACGAGGAATTCCCGATGAAGAAAACAGGAAGGAAAAGTCTGTAGTAATTGCAGTTAGAAAGTAACTTGTGGGCAGTTGTTGCCAGTGGTCTTTTTGAGACATGTATTAGTTAATCTATGTTTCTGCACAGTGTTACCCGCTGAGATGCGGACGTGATTTGTAATTAACGTATTGGATAGATATTGGATACCGCTGTTATGCGGATAGGATTGTTTATTATTTCTTGACTTGTAGCACTGACAAGGAGTGCAGTATTATTATTATTGTAGTAAAATAAACTTTATATTTGTCTGCTGAAACGGACTTAAGTCAGTTTATAGTATTTGTCTTGTCACGTGTCATGAGTACTTCAGGAGGCAAGAACCCAGCATTACACGACATTCGCATTCTGCAACGTTACACCATTTAACATCATTTACACAATGCCTTATATAGATCTAGGATGCCGTTCACCGTAGTGTCAGCAGGTGTAGTGCTGTATTTATGCTTGAAAAGGCATTAATCTATTTGAAATAAGGGGCTCTTTGAGGGGCGTTTATACGTCTGTCAGTTCTAAATATTTATTGGGGTCCCTAAGCTATAGCTTGTGTTGCCTATCTGTCAGTTCTAAATATTTATTGGGGGCCCTAAGCTATAGCTTGTGTTGCCTATCTGTCAGTGCTAAATATTTATTGAGGACCCTAAGCTATGGCTTGTGTTGCCTATACGAAAATCGTGTCCTGGTCAGGTGAAAAAAGTAAACACAATAGAAAAATAAAATTGTATATAAAATAATCAAACCTGTTTTAGTTCTGTCAGAGTAGCCGAGCCTGGTTTCCGTGGTTCGTCCCAAGCAAACACAACTTTATCAGGCTTAACTTCATCGAGCTTCGGCCAACAGATCTTTCTTGGTTTCGATGCTTTATTCTCTGCGCCCGTACGCTCCGAAAGATTGAATTCGTTAGCTTTCTGTCGATTTAGTGAATTTTTGGCGCTTGGGTTTCGTTCTTTGGAGTCACTTTTAGTGACAGCATTCGCATTGACATTTTCATGCAGTGGCAAGCTGGCGCTTTGATTTGGATCAACATTCATTTCAACTAATTTGTTCTTAAGAAGCAGCATCCTCTCGTTTTGAAGTCGTAAAAGATCACTTGCGAGATCCTTGAGAATATCGAAGTCGTTAAAATATTTGGGAGGAACCTGCCCAGAGGCGTCGACTTGGGTAGCAGAGCGTTGCGTTTTGTAATGTTTAACAAGTCCCTCATCGCGTAGAAAGATGGACGGGTCCAGCTTACCACGGGACGTGAAGTTGGTTTTGCCAGTGTCTGAAACAGTGTCTTGACAAAAACGTGACCCGCCCATGACGCTGCACTTCTCCAATTCACGTTTTCTTGACCTACATCCTATCTACGTTATTACTAAAAAAAAATACAGCTAGAATAACTGAAAATAGCATTAGAACAGAAAATGCTTACAGGTATTAGGCTAAGACATTTCTACACGAAACTTCTCATTCATGTCCCAAGTCATTTGTGCTGTTTGTATAACGAAAAATGCAGGCACACCTCAAAGGCATCGTTTGAAAAACAACGGAACTTGTTGGCAAAACGATGCCAAGTTCATGGATGCCGCCATCTTTACCAAAAGTTTGAGCGCGTTCACTGTTCACATTTTTCTTCAGTGCTATTAGGTATGAAAAGATAGGTCAATGTCACAAAGCCTATGTATGTGTGTGTGTGCGCTCGCGCGCACAAAAGGTTTCTTTATGAAAGAACGTGTTATTTATCTACAAGGGTTATCAGACGTCCTTCAAAAGGACTTGTCCTCCTTTTTTGGGATTATGTCCTCTTACCTTAATTAATTATGTTCCTATTTTTTTTCTGCTTTTCTCCCTCAATACTATCTAAAATGTTGACACCGATATAGTCAGGCATAGGCCTGGTCCGTTACATCACTGGTAAGCCAGACTACACATGGTTTTCTGACAGCTGATTCTTAGCACCACACAGACCTCATCCCGATTGATCGCTAGAAAGGATTTTATCCAGCGAACAGGCGTGGACCGGGACTATTCATCCCTAGTCCTGTCTAAAGGTTCCGAAAGATACAAGAATAAGGGCGCATATTCCTCGTTCCATATGCTAGGACAAATTCGCACCATTGCTCTTTCTTCCCTGGTGCTATAAGAGCATGGAATGGGTTGCCTGAACTAGCCAGGGAAACCGGTGACTTAACAGAATTTAGGTCATATATTAATATGCATGACTAAATGCATGACGCGTAGGACGTAATCATCTTCTTTTCTTTTTTTTTTTGAATTAACGTCTATATTATATAAGATAAGATCACAGACCACAAGAGGTTGGTAAAACGATGCTAAGTTAATCTTTACCAAAACTTTTAGTGCGTTCACTATTTACATTTTTCTTCAGTGCTATTAGGGTGTGAAAGGAAAGGCCAGGAACACAAAACCTTTGTGTATGTGTGCGTACCGTATAGGCCAACGTGGTCGTTTTTGGACCTGCTCACTATAAGCAGCCGAAGGCAGCGCTAACCACGGGAAAGTTCCCCCATATTCCTATATTGTAACCTGGGTTACCAAGACAACATAAAAGAGTGCTTTAGATTTAAATCGTCATACACGAATGCAGAAGTCTCCTGGGCGGGAAGAAAACTTAGGCAATGCACGCCGTCATAGCCCACACATCCACACACATCGCAAGACACGAACAATGACAACTAGACTGCATAGGAAAGAAACGAAACAATAATTCAAAGGGTAAAATACTTGATGGTTTTATTCATAAAGTTACTTTTTTTATTTTGTTTGAAAGAGGGAAATGTATTTGACATACCCGAGTGAATCGATCTTTGTAAAACTTGTATACCCTTAGGCGATTGCAATCATAACATTTTAAAATATGAGCAAAATAAATAAATAATTAAAAAAAAGTTGATTTAAAAAAGTCAGGCTGACAATAAAGTCATAAAATATTCATAACATTCATACATATAGATTTGACACTACCTGACAAATCATTCAAATGGTGAAAATGCATATTTAGAGAAAATAAAACAAAAAAGATTGATAATCATCTGTAACAAATTAAGCCCATCTTTTTTTAAAAAATATGACTAACTATTTTTTTGTTTAAAAATTATTTTTATTTTTAAAGATTTATAGAAAATTTTAAAAAGTAAAATTTTAATTTTTTTTTTTTTCAAAAGACGCCCACACCCCACTCCACAAAAACATACAACAATTGAACAATAGACAATAATCTCAAGATTTTAAATAACAAAAATAATAATACATAAACATATTTTTGTTTTAGTCTGAGTTACCATAAAATAAATAGCAGCATTTTAATTACTTACTTGAGTATTTTGTTTAAAAAAAGTTCATCAAAATATAGGCCTATCAATAATGCTCACTAAAAGATCTATTTATTTTAAACATTAAAAAACTTACCAGTAAAAAGATAATTAAATTCTTTAAAATTTCTTTAAATATAAATTAATTATTTGATGATTTTATACATTTTATTCTGTGATGCTTAATAAAAAACCAATAAACAAACAAAATAATATCAGCTTGTGAAAGTTGTACTTGTGAAGTGATTGGAAAAAAATGTTGATTTTTTTTTGTACAATGTAAACATTCTTACTGGAATCAACTGTCTATTTCAAAACAATTAGCAAAAGCCCAGTTAAAGTGATAAGTCAAACATAAAGGCTTTATTAGATTTCAGATCTTAGATATAAATATATCTCATATTTCAACCATCTCCTTTAAAAGATAACATTTTATAAAAAAAAAATTTAAACATCAAGTGATGATCAATACATTCACATAAAAAAATCAACAACTAACAAACATTTGATAAAATCATATTTAGAATAAAAAAATCACTAATTTATTTATGTATACTTCTGAACTCCTTTATAATATAAAGTCCGTTAGTAAAATAAAATAAATAGAAACATACCGGTATTTTTAAAATTACAACTCAATTTCACTTTTGTTTAAGGTCTGTTTTTTTTTTTTTAAGTTTTAGACATTCAGACACATAATCATCTACTTTTTTAAACTAACTAATTATTATATAAGATAAGATTCCTTTAGAAATGAAGATTATTATGTCCTAACCTAGCCCCCTGCAGGATGGCAGTAGGCTACATTGAAACTTGGGACCATCGTGTCATCTTGTGATACAGTATATTACATTATATACAAACTGACAGAGTTTACTTTTTTTTTTTTTAAATGTAGGCCTATATCTATGAACATACAAATTTCTTACTTTGATTGTTTTTCTTAAACATGAAGGCTTTGAGAACTCTATCAGTAATTGTTACATCTATTATGACAAAATGTACTTAATTTTTTTTTTAATAGTCATTTCAGAAATACAAAAACATATATTTTTTCATATTTACACACACATGTGACAGAAGAAAGCAGTTGTATGATCTTCACCTTTCACAATATTCAGTAATATATACTATACATTAAAATCTTGTTTTAAAAACATTACATAAAAAACATTTGTGTATTTAAATATAAAAACAAAACTGTTTACTTTCTGAAGATGAAAAGCAGTTGTTGCCCCTATTTATGAGCATGATAAAGATAATGGTGAAATTATATTTCAATTTTGTATTGTGTTTTATTTTTCAGATTTAAAGATAGCAAACAGTACAAAACCTATAGCAGCTTTTCCATTTGGCAGCTACTAAAAATTGGCATGCATATGAGTTTCCATATGCAAAACAATTAGACTTTCACTAGCAACAAAACACCAATAAATTTTCATTTCATTCTCTTATTGAGAAGTTAATTAAAAAACTTTATTCTAATTTTTCAAAAGAAATTGATCCTTTGTTTGAACAAGAATAAATATTTGATAAAATATTCATACAAAAAAAAAATTAATGCTATATAATCTACTACTAGGACAATGATAAAATAAATATATGAAATCTATTGTTTCTAAATGCCATTGAAATCTAGTAAAAAAAAAAAAAGTACAGTTGTCATGTATTTTTCAAATGAATAATAATATTTGTCACAATATGATTTAAACAACTAATATATTTTTCTGATAATAATGTGAAAAACTTTGAAATACAAATTAGGCAGTGGATATTGGGCATTATTGGGCTGAATCACTGCTTTACCTTATTTCTAAATGACTGATGATCATAATGACCTCATTTGCTATTATTAAATATTGCATGGCAAGTACAATGTGATTGTTTAGCAGTACTGCATACAGCTATTAGACCTAAATCTCAAGCAATACATACAACTTTTAGACACAACTGTCAAGTAGAGACCTCAAAATCCTATATTTTTACATGTTTTTTATAAACTTAAGTCCTGAAACTATAATTAATAGCATCTCTAATGTAATCCTAAATTCCTATCCTAATCCTTACACCAATCAAATGTATAGACATTAGTTAAATGGCAGACAATCTGAGGCATTATAAGTAACAGTAAAACCATGGCTCAGAAGAAAAAAGTGTATAAGGTATCCACATTGCATAAACTATTATTTAAATTCAGCATTAAATATGTATCAGCATTATAAAATTAATTAATTAATAAGTGGGAAGCGTGGTCAAGAGGCTAAGTGCACATGAACTTGGCTTGGCTACCTATAAAGGTTGCTCGAGGTTCGACACCCGATTCGGGCAGAGTTGTGTTTACTGAGTGCCTGAAGGCAGCAGGGAAAAACCTTCTCCTAGATACCCCCTCCCCCCACTAGTCCACAACTGAGATTGGACCAAAGCGCTCTGAGCATGCTATACGGATGGAAGTAGCGCTATTTAAAAGCCATAATTTTTATTAGAAGGTACAGGCTTTTCAATAAAAAACAGTGGAGTTAAAAAAAAAGTGTAGGGAATCACCCCATTCAATGAACCAACATGGAAAAACAAAGTTTTGTTTCATTAACATTCATAAATTTTATTATATGTTGGCTTCAATAAAATGCTTTTATTTTAAATCAACATAAATAAAACTAAAGTCAAAAACAATTGTTTAAAAATGACTAAAGAATTCAGTGTATAAGACATTGGTTAATTGTAACAGAAAATGAAATATCAAAGCTAGGAGCAGCTTAAGAATACACAGCTATATGCAAGCAACCCCCAGCTTGAATGACATGCATGTAGGGTACTATTGATCTGATAAAGAATGAGAAGACCATCCATGGTAAACCTACATTCAATGGTCTGCTGATGTTGAGAAAATTAAGAAGCTTGACCATTATGCTTGACAACTACATCCTCAACCATTTGTTAAATAATTTTTTGCCTAAACATATGAATCTCTACATTAAAAACATACATATAGAAGTTTTTTTTTTAATTTTGAAACATTTTAAATTGTCAGTCATGTTTCTTTTACTTTTTTAAAATAGAATTTCAAGCTTCATACCAAGATTTTTTCTTTTTATTTTAACAACAAATCTGATTAAAGAGTTTTTGGTGAGAAAAATTATTGAAAGTACAAGTAAAATGAAAAAAAAAATGTTCATTTAAAAATTCACATTGTCTTTATGTACAAGTCAAATGTATAGCAAGAAATGGCATTAAAAAAAACAACAACAACAGAACAATACCTTAATGTTTGTACTGGTATTGGAATTTTATAAAAACTGAAAATGGCACATTAAAACATGGTACAGAAGTTGACAAAACTGATATCTAGTTAGAAAAGAGGAAATAATTGGATTCATTGATGTTGATTTTTTTCCCACTGATTTCAAATTAACCTTTTCGTTTCATATTTAAATAAATATTTTGCTAACAATAACGATGAAAAATAAACATTTTCAATCTGTATAACCAGTATATAAGGATGTGGATGAAAGGTATGATCACAAATCCGATGAGAATGACAAAGCCAATGGTTGGACCAGGATTATTCCAATTTAAGATCTCATACATGACATGGCTATGATCATCAACCCAGTAAAAGACAGAAAAAAATACATAAATAACACCATATATTAATGGATAAATAACATGCAACAGTCTAATAGGAATGGCTATGACAGCATGCTCTATGAGTATTAGAACACTGTTGATCAGATGTAGCTGAATATTGCTGTTTGTCATTTGGCCCAAATTTGAACCTGGTACAAGTATAGCCCAAAAAACGAGACTCACCATAATTGCTCCCACACTAGCTGCATTTAATAGTATCCAGACTATTGCATAATACCAAGGTACTGGCGATCTGAAGAAAAAAAAACAATGATTGAGTTGATATTTTAATTTATGTGTTAGTCACAACATGAACATTTTCTATGGACACTGGAGGAAGGAATTTTATTTTCAAAATGACTTTTTCTGCATTTGTATAACATGTCTTTCATGCTCCTACAGCTTGCTCTCTGGTCCATGATGCTTGTGGAAAGGAGGAGTATGTTTTCTTGTTGCCTTTAGATACTTTACTTAGCAACTCAAAAATTCAGTTTGAGTCATGTCTTAAATAATTATCTCTTGGTCTACTTCAGGAATGAAACTGAAGCTTCCATGGGTAATCTCATCTCATCTCATGTCCAGCTTAAGAACAGCCAACGTGACAATGCAAAAATGATACCATCTCCAAATGTAAGATAGTTACCTGTTATGGAGTGTGTGTGTGTGTGCTTCTATGGTTGTGGTGGTTAGCGATTGTTTGTGAATGATGCAACATAAGTGGCATTTTTTCATTTGGTCTTAGTTAAGACAGACGACTCCAGAATGTTAGACTGAAAGGTTGTGTTGTTAAAAAAATATTTTTACTAAAGTCTACTACAATTATTTCATTTTATCACAAGCTGATTTTGTCAATATTATAAATAGAGTTATATTTGGTATCATTCAAAAGGAAGTTATTCAGCTTATTTGTATCCCGCTTACAATGGTTTAGTTGTCTACCAGCAGTTTGGTGTTGCAAGTAAACAACCAGTAACAACATTGACCTAATGATTTGATGTGCTTACCCACTATCAAATAAATGACTGTGAAATGAAATGGAATATGGGTGGGATATCACTGTTTCAACATCGGACTTAACTCTTTCCCTCCTAATTGACAATAGCATCATTGATTTAAACTCATTAAATTAAATTAATGTTTGATTTTATAAACTTTACTTTGTCTTAAATAAAAAGAGCCTGCATTCCCTTTAAACTCTATACCTTAAATAAAACATTCTGATATTAAATGAAAACATTATTGAAGCTTAATCATAACAGGGTAGTGAAATACTACCGTACTGAGCAAAATGAAGAATTCCATCCAAACATGGAAAATAATTATGGAGAGAAAGAGTTAATCAATAAAGAGAGCACTAAACTATAGACTCATATAGATGGGTCTCATTAATTTAAATAAATGATTTAGTATATAATATAAAATTACAATAGGCCTAATTGAAGCCAGACATATTATGTTGCATTTTACTTGAATTGAAACATTTTGACCTTAGCAACTTCTCTTATGAGTAAAGAGGCCAATATTCTTGATACACTTCAATAGTCACAAGTTCCAAGACTTTTATATCAGAGATAAATTGACCTCTGCATTGCTTGGAGGAAATTTTAAGACTTGGCATAAATCTGTAAGTGTTGGGCTGCCCAAACGTCAACACTTGCCTATCTTCCATGCTGAATGGATCCAATGGAATGGAGTCGCAATGTGGTGGCTGCAGGAGTTTACCAGTGAGCAGTGGTCTTAGCACTCTCCCTCTGCCAGAGATATCTCCTTTAAGTTTACATCAACATTGCTTTGCAACTATAATGGAAAACACTTAAGAGAAACTGAAACAATCATTATTACATATTTGTATTTACCAGGACTGACATTCAAGGACAAGTACAATTCAGTATGCTCCAAACATATGTATTTATATTTATTGTGAAGACATAATAGTTGAATTTGAAAAAAAAAAGGCAACCTTGTATGAGTGGTAACTGCAGAAACTTCTCCATCAGATGGAACTTCCTCATAACCATTGGCAGACATTTCACTAAACAACTGCCAATGTTCTGAACTTTGCTGTTGTCTGAACAAATTCCTGGGAGACCTCCATCTTGCTAAATACACAATGATAGTTAACACTGCGTAGTAAGTAAAATACAAAGTCAGAAGAATGTAGGTCCAGTTGGTAAGAAAAGCTCCCCATGACTGAAAAGAAATAGTTTGACAAAAGTTAAATAGTTTAATGAACATTCATTTTTATTTTCTTTCATTGCAACGAGGAACCAAAGCAATAACTATGGATTTTTTTACGTGTTTTTATGTAAAATTAATTTGAATAAAAAAAAGGTTAAATTTTTTTTAAAAGTTCCTTGTCTGTGTGATAACAACCTTAGAAACTAAACAAATTTCCACATTAGCTGTTTAAACAAATATCAGCTGCTTTTTAAATTAATTTACTTTTTCAAGCCCTTATAAACATGTGAGAGGAATTTTTTTATTGATTTTTTTACTGCTTGACTTCTTCACATTATAAATTTGGTTTGCCATGCACAATATATTTTTCATGTACTTAAATCTCTAAGCCTATATTTTATTGCCTCTCTGTAAAATAAACTTACCAAGGAACCTAGAATACCTCCTGATGAATCATTAGCCGTAAGACTCAACCAGACTATGACATATATGGCAATTACAATTCGATAGATTAAAAATATAGAACCAGGTAGTCGCCACTGTGGAGAAAAAAAAACACAAATTATATGTAGATAAGACTGGTTATAAAAAATGAGCCAGTCTGGCAAAAAAAGCTTTGTTTCGCAATTAATTAAATATTATAGGGATGAGCCAATATTAAATACCAGTATACCAAATTTTAAATATCAATCTCACTGGTTAATATATAACTATCAAAATTTAAGTAATAAAACGGAGTCTATAAATAACACAAAAATCCTTAATTTATCTTGAATTCCATGGCACTTCCAAGTGTGTGTTTTCCCCACCCCACCTTGCAGAAAGGACTTCAATTTCTTTAGGGATATCAATATCAATTAATTATATTCAATTTTGGTGCTCATCAAGCCAAAATAAACATTTACATAATACACAAGCAACAGTTTTGGGTATGTTTGTTTTTTTAGTAAAATTTGTTTGATACCAATTAAATTATGACAGCAGACATGACAATTTTTTTTATAGTTTTTTTTTTTTTTTAAATCTTAGGCATCACTGACTGAAGTCAAACATGAGGACTTCCTAGTAAATAGTTTATGCTTATAAAATAATGTTTCACAATTTTCTTTATCAAAAGGTGAAAAATCTTAATAATCAAACAATGAGAAACAATGGAAGGAGCTCAAA